GTACCCGCTAATACACATGTCACTAGAAAAACCCACAGACTGAACATTATTCCTTTCATGGCACATATTGACTGTTTTAAATTTTCGTTTTTTTTTCGTTCCCTATTGAAACCTGAAACAACATGAATGATTCGCTCCACGCAGTGTCTCATGATGATTTCGTTGAGAAACTACGAATACGCACGACAATTTATTCTGTTTGCATTTTCTTAACGGTTATCTTTTTTCTGCATTTCCATCAACATCTGTACTCCTACCTGATGAAAGATTTTGTTGTACAGCTATCTAAGCACATCATATCTTCAACTGTTTGTATAATTTTAGGGTTTATTTCTTTTGTTGTTTGTACTAAAATATGTACCCACTCGTGCTATGTGTCGAAATCGAGACAGCAGTATGTGTAAATAAATAAATACATAAATAAATAGGTAAATAAGCCTCTACACCAAACGTCTACTCACCGCCTTCTGACGAGCCTCTCCCCACTCACGCCCCTTTGTCTGGTCACCGCTACTCCCGCTCCCTGTCGTCGCTACGCCACCAATCCTGCACTCCACCGCCTTTGTGCTCTTCCTCACTGAGCTCCTCTGGACGATCGCAGCAGGAAAACTAGATATTACACTTTGTGAAGGTGAAGCTTCAATACCAACTACGCCCGGAAATCCTCTTGTGTCGCTTCCCACACACCACAGTCTCATTCAAGTAAAAGTCGACAATGTTCCAGTGACTGCCCTTGTTGACACTGGCAGCCAGCTATCTGTTATGAGCGTTCATCTACGCCGCGGTTTGCAGATCATGACGCTCTCGACGCCTCAAGTCATACGTTTTGGCGATTGTGGCGCCGCATACATCGTCGGAATGTGCACTGCTTGTGTAGCATTGCTGGCCGTCACACCACAGTCCTTTTTGCCGTTCTAGCTCGTTGCCCCCATGACCTCATACATAGCCTTGATTTCCTGTGTGCACACTCAACCTTAATATACTGCTGTTCTGGCACGCTCAGCCGCGATCTTCCCCTTCTCTCTGATGCCTGTGAAAAGCCCGTCAGCTGCTTGGGTCGAACCACTTTTGTTCGCTTGCCACCTCGAGCATTGACATACGTCTGTTTGTCATGGACTCCTCCAGTTCCTGACGGATACTACATCGTTACCCCGATAACAGACGCTCGACAGACGCGCAGTGTGACAGTGTCGCACATCATCACCACCATAGTAGACAACTGTGTGTTTCTTCCGCTCGTAAATTTCGGCTTCATTTCCTAAGTGCTGCCCTGCCAGATGTCGCTTGCTCAACTCACTGCCATACCAGACGATGACATCAACGTTTTTGCTGTAAGTGTTCCTGGACCAAGCTGGAGTTCGACGGTTTCCCAGTTCTGACAGATCCATTTTTCGAAGTATGATTGGTTCTAATATTTCGCCTGATCAAGCCGATGCTCTCGGCCGGGCTTTGGCCTCCTAGGGTATCATTTTTGACATCCGTGATTGTCCCTTGGCCCACACTAATATTGTCAACTACCAAAACAACACTGGCGACTCTGCGCTTATCCACTGTCAGTTTCACCGCGTGTCCACATCAAACAAGCAGTAATTTAGAAAAAAGTGGCCAAATTGCCAGTAAAACACATCTTCGATCCATCTTCAAGCACTTAGGCCTCCCCAGTGGCCTTGGTAAAAAATAAAAAAGGCTCCTGGTGTTTCCGCATTGATAATCAGCACCTCAACCAATTACCAAGAAAGACGTGTCTTTTCTTCCCCTTATAAATGAAACACTTGACTCTCTTCATGGCACCACCTTGTTTTAGTCTCTCGACCGCCGATCTGGCTACTGGCAAATAGCTGCAGACGAAAAGGATCGTAAAAAATCTGTATTCGTTCACCCTTGACGGCCCTTACCAACTCAAGGACATGTCGTTTGGCCTCTGCAATGCTCCATCAACCTTCTAGAGAATGATGTACACGCTGCTTCAAGGATTTAAATGGACGACGCGCTTGTGCTACTTGAATGACGTCATAGCGTTCTCAGCCGCCTTCACCACACACCTCGAACGCCTTTTGACGATTTTATCAATAATCCGACAAGCCAGCTAAATTCCTCGAAGTGCCACTTCGGTCTTCATGAGACTACTGTGCAGGGTCACCTTGTTAACGCTACCGGCGTACGACCAGACCCAGAAAAAATACGCGCTCTAACGAACTTCTTAGCTCTACTCTCTGTCAACCATGCTCACAGTTTTGTGGGCATCTGCTCCTACTTTCGGTGGTTTGTGAAAAACTTTGTGGCACTCGCACGGCCACTCACTGGCCTCCTCAAACAAGACGTCTCTTTTTAATGGGGCCTTCTCCAACCTGACGCCTTCTCTAAGCGATCACCGCTCCCACGACACCTTCTTTTCTTGCTTATTTCGACCACCATGCTCATACAGAAGTGCGCACAGACGTGTGCGGTCGCGGCATTGGCGAAGTCTTGGCGCAGTCTCAGCGGTGCAACGACCGTGTGATTGCGTATGCAAGTCGGGCCCTTTCGAAGACGGAACGCCATTACTCTCTAACAGGATGGGAGTGTGTCGTTTTTGTCCGGATGGTTTTGAAAATCTGTCTTTACTTTTATGACCACCCTTTCCATGTCGTCGCAGATTATGACGCACTGTGTTGCCTTTCTACACTGAAGGACCCTACTGGGCGACTTGATCGCTGGGCATTGCGTCTTCAGGAGTACTCCTACACAGTTGCCTACAACTCTGTACGCCTCCATCTGGACGCCCATCGCATGTCCCGCTACTCTGTTGATCAACCAGACGGATCTCACGTCGAGCGTAGGTCAAGCGTCATGTCGATTTAAAGGTTTCTTCAGATTGGTAACGAACAGCTTCGCTATATTTTCCTGCGGTCACTCATCGACCGCCTAAACTCTGCTCTGAACAACGCGTCGTTTCACATGTACGTCCTCTTGGATGACAAGCTCTACCGTCGCAGCCTCCAGCCAGATCGCTCTGAGCTCTATTTAGTCGTGCCATAACATCTGCGTGCCACCGTGCTGCGTAAGCTCCACGACGAACCAACTGCTGGTCCTCTGAGTGTATCCCGCACGTACGACCGTGTTCCTCTCCGCTAATTTTGGCGCGGCCTTGCCAGCTCTGTTCGCTGCTGCGCGTCCTCCTGCGATAAACGCTAGGGTACAAAGCGACCTACTGCGCCCCCGGCTGGACTTCTTCAACCGAACTCCATCACCACTGAATCTTTTTTCTATGTCGGTATAAATGTTCTCGGTTCTTTTCCTGAATAAAGCTAGGGCAACAAGTGGGTCGCCGTTGCTACAGACTATGCGACTAGGTATGTCATTACTCGAGCGCTACGCAGTCCCACCAGCACCGCTACTGACGTTGCGGACTTTTTGCACCAGGATGTCATCCTGCACCATGGCGCTCCTCGCCAATTGCTCACTGATCGTGGCCGTGCATTTTTTTTCACGAGTAATAACGATCTTTTGCGCTGTTCCGTCACACAGCACAAGTTGACCGCTTCTTACCATTCCAAAGAAACGGCCTGACCAAGCGCCTTATTTACGCACTCACGGGCATGTTAGTGATGAATCTGTCCTCCGACTACCATGACTGGCGCCTGGCACCACCTCACGTGACATCCGCGTACAATTTTTTGCGCCATAACACCCCTGGTATTCGCCCGGTTATTTGATTTATGGCCGTGATACGACATTACCATTGGACACAATACTTTCGACCACTACAACACCGCCAACCGTATATATACGCGCCGCTAATGCTCGTGACGACGACGCACGTCAGATCACCCACTCAAGACTTTCGGCTTCAAAAGCCATTCAGAAAGTCATCTACGACAGCCGACATATCGACGTTCGCTTCTCACTCGGTTCTCTCGTTCCTGTGGTACCAAGCTCGTCGAGTTCGATTATCAGAGAAATTATATTCCAGCTACATGTGTCCTTATCTTATCGTCCGGCAGATATCTGGCGTCACCTATGAGAACACTCCTGCTTCTGAGACCACCCTGCCGGCAACCACGCTCAGTGATGTAGTGCAGGTCAGCAGGCTAAAACCCTGACAACAGCCTTCTGAACACCGGATTTATTGTGCACCGACACGGCGCGTTTACCGTTTGGGAGTATTGGTACACAACAATGTCTCTAGGCACGCACTCAAATCATAAATAGATGAAACCTTGTCATGGTCCAAGAAGAATACCAAACACGTCATGTCCATGAAGTGCGAAACAGCGCTGCGGGTATGGCCGCGATGAACAATGAAACCACATCAAACAGAAAAATCTTAAATCAGATTTCGTGTGGACGTGAATTGTTGTTATGCTGGACGCATTACTAACCGCGCTGACTTAAAGTGCATTCTTTCCGGCTGCATGTCATGTGTTTTTTTTTCAGCTTATCACGTTCATACTAAAGGAGGAAATCAAACACTTATACATTTCATACATAAGACGTGCAGACGACACTATTCCGTGTATTACTATGGAAGCGTGGCTTGAGAACTTTCACCCTCTCCCTGTACTTCCATGTATCGGTAACATTGCTACGATTAAGTATGTCCTGCACATAGAGCGAAATGTGTTCATGTAACGCAGTTAAAATAGTAACCACTTATAACCATTGTTGCTACTAGCGATGTTGCTACTGCTGGTGCTACTGCTGCAGCTGTACCTATAGCAGTAAGAATAAAATAATAATCACACATATAATGAAGAAGAACTTCGTCGTTTTTTCTCCATTTGAATCACTTTCTTTTGAACGTGCGTGCTACGAGCCTAGGAGAAATCATTCCATCGACTTCCTTCAGAACACAATTCTCTTGTGCTGCATCCCAATCCAGATATGCGATAACGCCATGACGTTATTTATTATATAATTTCATGCCATGCACGCAACGACCTTGCGGTGTCGTATGTCTTGTTCCGTCGCGAGAAAACTGTAGCTGCTTTTCTCATATTGACCACAGTAATTGTGTTTACCGATAGACTGGCGCCGCTTGATCGCTGAAGGTGGTTGCGGTCGTGGGTAAAGTGGTGGCTCGTCGCTATTACTCGTGATACCAAGATGTGATGGTTCGGCGAGCGAAGCTCTCTTGGCAGCCATTGATTTGCGTCGACTGTCTTTCAGTGCAGGCTTTGGTGACGTCTTCCCCTGCGAAAGCATTGCAAGAGGGCTTACTCGATTCGCAAATCGTTTGAAAGCTTTCCACGGCGAAGATGTGATGTTCCGTAAATATAAAAATACACGTAATAATAAAACATTCCTCACTTTGCATAGCGCGATGGCCCTGGTGCGCTAATGAAGACGATAGCCTTTTTGGAATATTTCGAGGCGAAATTTTTTTTGTCTGTCATCCAAAACGGCTTAAATCTTACCCTTTTACTGCTTGCATTTATTTCTAAAGTCCAACCGCATCTGCAGTACCCACCAATATTGCTCTCGATTCTGCGTTTATACTTGTGCGCAGTATCAAATAAAAAGCAAACGCTGCGCATATCTGAGGCAGAGCGTCAACATATAAATACGGTGTAGCCTGTGTCTTTATACTATTTATCCCATACATAAGTAATTCCAAGGATCGTAGCATTTCTTACGCTAAGCTGACAAGACAACGCAACGCACGGAATAATGTCCCCACATCCTCGAAGGAAATCGTGAGGAAATTCAGATGCACTGCCCCAGGCAGGGGTGCCCACGCAGGCAAGCGCTTGGTGCGTAACGATACCAGGGACTCGAGAAAACGGGGGAAGGGGGGGGGCGAGTCGCTACTTCTTCTCACGCCTAGCCGTGCCCGGCTTTGCCGCGTCTGAGAAAAGGGGAACCTAGGGGTTGAGCTGATTCCGGGTGACTTCCTCGAACTAGCTGAAGCTCGAAGGATGGCAGGAATATAATGTCGTGAAAGTACAAAGAAAAATAATAAGGTGATATGATAAACAGACCCCAAGAAAGCACATCGTAATTACCTTTGGTCAAGCAACCTCTCTGACTCTAATGAAACCGGTTACTGTAAGCATCGTGTCAAACCTTATGTACAAACCCTCGCCCATGTTTCAAACACAAGGGCTTTGGACACGGATTCCAAGCATGTAGAACGTGCGCCAGGTGCGTGAAGTGCGCATCTTGTGAACAAGCATCGGACGCCTGCACTACAGAAGTCTGCTGCGCTAACAGTAAAGGAGATCATCCCGCCTACTTTCGATAATGCTCCGCATGAAAAAAGGAGAAACAAATATAAGCACTTGAGGTCAAATTCAACCTATCATTCCAAAAAGCACGTCAACAGTTTTCTGCACAAAACCATTCTGATCCTTCCTTCACCGACGTGGCACGCCGGGGCGCTGTGCCACGTTTCTCGGCACCCGCGAGATTCACACCAAGTGTGATCGTGGTTGTGCCATCAGCGCCTCCACCTGAAGCAGCCTGTACTGCTTCCGCTTCCTGCTGAAAAGAGTCAACATACTTCCGAGCCTGCTGGGCCCCGGGCCAATGCAAGTGCAGTCAGCTCTGAAACAGCCACGAACGTGCCTGCTAAGCAGGCGCCGCCTGCAACCTCCGAAGAGGTGTTGGTAGAAACGTACCGTAACCTAGGGTAACACTTTTGTGCACACGACACTTAACTACATTAAAATGGAGAAACAAGTTTTACAGTGGAACGTCTGAGGAATCCTGAGAAACCTTCCCGATGGTCAAGAACTTTTACTTAAACATTCACCATTAGTGGTGTGTGTACAAGAACACAATTAAAAACTAAGAATATTAATTTTTTACGTATGTATGCTATTCATAGAAAGGACAGAGATGATGCTGTCACGTCGTTAGGTAGTGTTGCCATTATAGTCAATCAAGGGATTTTATGTACTCATCTATCATTCCAAACATCACTTGAAGCAGTGGCTATTCCAGTAGTTCTGAACAAACTCATCACCATCTGTTCTGTCTACATACCTCCACACTATCATCTTGAAAAAATGTGAACTTCAGTCCCTAATAAATAAACTTTCAGGAACTTGTACTCTCCTTGGCGATTTCAATGCATGTCTGGTGACTCTCGCTGCGAGGCTCGAGGTCACCGATTAACAGTTCATTTTCACTTCTGGAGCTTGTCTTCTAAATCAAAAAGAGCCCACATACTACTGCCTCGCAAACAATACCTACTCATCAATATACCTCAGCATCGTCTCTTCATCCTTCATTCGTTTACTGACATGGAAAGTCAATAATTATCATTACGGAAGTGAGCACTTTCCAGTAACGCTGAGCACACCTATATCACATGAATATCGTTCCCAGATCCCCCAAATGGATCACTGACAAAGCTGATTGGAAACTGTTCTCGATGATTGCTCATTTAGGTTCGACATATCTATCTGGTATATGCAGCTGTACAATACTTTTGAGCTTTTCTGACAGATGCTGCGATGAATTGCATCCCGCAAACATCTGCACTGCCTGGCAAGCGACGTGTACCGTGGTGGAACACTGAGTGTCGCGATGCACGCAAACAACAAAACAAAGCGAGCAGGTTGCTTCGCGACTCACCGACAACCAATAATCTTGAAAACTTTAAGAAAAGTAAGTCCCAACGTAGGAGAACGCGCCGGCAAGATAAGAGAGAAATTTGGCAGATGTTTTGATCAGGCATCGCTTCATACGCATAAGAAACTAAAATCTGGAACATGGTTAGTGAGGTAGCAGGGCGACACACATCCTAACTCGCGCAGATACTAAAGGAGACACCTTGAAGACAAGGAGAACTTCCTTAGTGCCCCCTTGGAAGAAGTGTCCAGCTCGTTGAAATAAACTGTAGTTTGTTTAACGACACCAAACCAAAATCGAAAAACGCAAACTACAGCGAAAATTTTCTAAACACGAAGCATATAACAACTATTTCTGTTTGGCTGAGTTAGAAGCATTGCTGTATGGCTGCAATAATTCTGCCCCAGGTTCAGATTGTGTAATATAAGAAACATTAGGACAACTGCCTCCTGGAATGCAACGACACCTACTTTCTCTGTACAACGCTATCTAATTTTCTGGCGAGATCTACTCTGCCTGGAAAGGAGCCATAGTTCTTCCGATTCTAAAGCGAGACATGGATCCATTTCCTGTTAGTAGTTACAGGCCAATCACACTTACAAGCTGTATGTGAAAAAGTTTCACAAACATGATAAACCACCGACCTGTACATTTCCTTGAAACAAAGAATCTGCTCGACCCATTCGAGTGCGGGTTACGAGAGGGTAGATCCACCACCGGCCACCTGGTACGTAGCGAGACACAGGTGCGAGACGCCTTCGTTCAGAAACAATACTTTTTGTGTTCTCGCGCAAAGAAAAACGTTCGGAAGATTGCGCGTACGGGAATTGATAATATTCAAAGCATCTCGAGGGACGGTGACTGCACTGTTATTTTATGGAGGGAAATGTTACAAAATGGCACTCAATATATTTACATGTTGCAAATTCTGTGCCAACAGATATCTGTTGGACAGTTCCAGATTTTTTACATAACCAGTTGTTTACACTTGCGTAGTGATGCCAACAGCAACACGGGTAATATCAGCGCCAGAAGCGGTAAGCTGATTGAGGCACTTGCGCTTGCGAAGGTGGTAGCCCTAGATTGTGCTACGTAGAACAGCTTCAAGGCTCGCGTGGATCTAGGGTAGAATGGTAGCTTGCCACGTAGAATGAATGCTCGGGTTCAATTCCTCCTCAAACCATGATATTCGTTACTCGTGTTCATCGGGTGAACGTTGCCGATGTGCCTTTTTGACAAAGCTCTCGCATTTAAATTACCAATATCTCTTGTCCCCTTTCCTGGGTAGGTGCAAATAATGAGCCGCCTGTGGCGCATGTCCGCCTACCATAACCTTGGTATACGGGCCCGTGCCACACGTGTGTGGATGAAAGGATTAGACGATGTAGGGAACGAGGATTTAACGTTATTGATGTCCCCAGTTTTCCTCTTATGAAATTAGGTGAAGATTGTTGTGTACCCGCATCAAACCTATTTATCTATCTATCAATAGATCGATCGGTCGATCGATTTATCTATTCATCTATCATGTCATGTCATGACCAGCCGGGCATATACGTGAAATCTTACCTTCCAACTTTATTTAGCCTACACAAAGTTAAAGAGGCGATCTCCGGAAAACTCAGACGTGGGTGGCAAGATAGATAGATAGATAGATAGATAGATAGATAGATAGATAGATAGATAGATAGATAGATAGATAGATAGATAGATAGATAGATAGATAGATAGATAGATAGATAGATAGATAGATAGATAGATAGATAGATAGATAGATAGATAGATAGATAGATAGATAGATAGATAGATAGATAGATAGATAGATAGATAGATAGATGGATGGATGGATGGATGGATGGATGGATGGATGGATGGATGGATGGATGGATGGATGGATGGATGGATGGATGGATGGATGGATGGATGGATGGATGGATGGATGGATGGATGGGTGGGTGGGTGGGTGGGTGGGTGGGTGGAAGGACGGACGGACGGACGGACGGATACAAACGCGTAGTGCCCATTTCTCGCTAAGAAATGCATCGCATTTAGTCATGAATTTCATGCGTTTTTCCACAAACAGCGTTGTTTGTCGTGTCTTTCGTGTCCTTCTTGTCTCTGTGTCGTCGTTTTGTTCTCGCGCTATAACTATCATCAAGCGTTGTTTAGCAGCCGCAGTACTTGGGGATGTGGTGTGGTCATGTTACAACACACTGAAAACGGCTATTTCAACAATGGCAGCCGTTGGCCTCGTCTCTCAAGCCACTCAGTTCTCAGAACGCGGTTCTCAGAACTATGTCCTCAGAACCACACCTGCAGAAAACAGTATATTCCCGGGTAGGGCAAAGCATCAAAGGTTTCATGAAAAGGGGAGGTTGAGAAAAAAGGAAAGGTAAATTAACAGAAGAGGAAGGAAAGCACTCGTGCATCTTCCATACGTCTCGAATAATTTGACGTCTCGTGCTCAAGTGCGGCCAACTTGATCTTCAATTCTCCCAGAATGCACCCAGCAGATACAAAACACATGAAATAAACTCTATTTATGGGAACTACGGCGTCTTCTAAGTAGATTTTCGGTGTTTTCGTCATTTCATCCTATGTTGTCGATCATCCTT